GTTTTTGGGCTGTACTGTAAAAGTCTGAAATAAATTCAACTCGGTGCGGTGAAATCGTCTCTCCCCGGCAAAATCCCTCAGCAGCAAAACGTAGCTGTCCCTCCACGCCACCCCCCAAGAAATAATGCCCTGCCTCAGAAGACTGCAAAGGAGGCTACGTTTCTCGGTCAATTTCTACTATTTATTCAGCATGCAAAGGAGTCTGAAGGAGGCTATTTGTGGCACAATGAAGCAAGTCGGAGGCCAAATCATTTTACGTTCACCGTTTCTGTCCTCTTGGTAGAAGCATGGAGGTAAAAATTAACAGTAATTTTTTAACCCCATGGTAGAAGCAAGGACATTATACACTCTGTATAATGTCCTTGGTACATGTAGAAGCAAGTAGTAACCTTGATACCAAGACCTATAGCGCATTAGGCCCCGAGTTAGCCAGAGAACAGGCTAAGGGCTATAACTGAGAGGCTCTGTGGTAAAATTTCTTCGGGGGCATGTTAGTCCGGGACCCGAGAAGCTGGCCTAATTGTACGCCCTGGAAACAGTCTGGCGCCCAGGCTAGTTAGAAGCAGCCTGATAGAAAAAAATGCCCTTCCCGTGCGTGATATTTAAACAATCACAACACATCATGTAATTTTTGCTACTTTGTAACCCATTTTTTTTAATCTGCCTACTTGAATCACTGGGTCTCGTGATATGAGTCTCCCAGTCCATTTTCTGAGAGAAATTTATGTATATATACCATAGATTGTTGAGCAAAACTAGCTAAAATACGGTAATAAATGATGTTCTTCAGCCTTTGTTATGAAGACTTTTGGCATTTGCAACTTTTTTTTCGTTTCGTTTTGTCTTCTCTCTTTCAACCAACCTCCTTTCAAGTAAAGGTAAAGACAACAATGTGACGGTCCCCGACTCATAGAACTGCGCATAACAATACGTCCTTATGCAAATGCGGATGGCTTATAATTGTGTCTCACGGAGGTGCTAAAACACCTAATTGATGTGGCTGTCAACATGATTAATTGTGATTGAAGGGAGGAAATGGGCAAAATGTGGCTTTCCTGCTACAAATTTGTAGTACAAACTTTGAACGATTTTAAAGAACTATAGCCACCTTTCAGGAAGGAAAACAATTATGTCTTATGATGCGTCATGTCCCGTTCTACACCAAAACGATATGAATATTTTGTTAAATGATTGCTACATTTTGTTATTAGCCAATTTTTAAAGAGCTACCCTCAAAATCTATCAATGATATTCATAAATAACGATTTTTTAAAACAAAGGAAAGGAAATCTTGATTTAACTCACCAGTTTCTGTTAGAAGGTATGTTTTAGCAGCTGTATGCAAAAAACTGTGACTGTTGGACTTTGGGAATAGTTCTGCAAACTCCATTTTTTACCAAAAATAATGGCATTATTATTTTCATAATCTAAACAAATAGACTTAACATAACAACATCAAATTTATTTAGACGCACTGATATTCATCTAATTTATCTCCCCTGCAAATTTGAGCCATTTTGAAACATGTATTGTCGAGTTATTACAAGTTTTATTCAGGACCTAAGTGGTAGCTAGAATATGCCCTGGGCCGCCTTAGCTCTGCTGAGCACAAACACACAGACACTACCTGTCCTTGGTGCTGAATTATATTCCCACAAACACACAGGCACTACCTGTCCTTGGTGCTGAATTATATTCACACAAACACACAGACACTACCTGTCCTTGGTGCTCAATTATATCCACACAAACACACAGACACTACCTGTCCTTGGTGCTGAATTATATTCCCACAAACACACAGGCACTACCTGTCCTATAACTAACTACCTTTGTAACTGCTTCCCTGGCCAACTCCACGTCTCCTGGTTCACTGAATCTCCTCATGATCATGGCATTCAGCTCAGGGTACTGAGGAGGGAGGGAGGAGGGGTGAGGTACAGATTTCTTCAAGTATCGCTATCATAGACAGTTTATGTGATATTTCAAAACCAAGGGTTTGATTCTACACTTGTAAGTCTGGACCTAAACCCAGGGCATATACAAAATATGGCAGGGACTTCTCAGTTAACATTACCCAATGGAAAATGGGAACATCTTCACCACAAATATTTGCAGCGAGCACTGCACTACCAAGGTTTAGAAGCAAGATATGTTGTTTGCTGGGCATGTCTGGGCAAAACTGTGGCCATGCACATAATTCATGGAGGCCACCACTTGACGATGTACAATGGCAAAGTTTTCTTCAAGTTGCAGCAGAAATTTTTTACTATTGAAGATTTCAGGTGGTTTAGAACAAAAAGGGGAAGGTGATATGTTCTTTTTTTTGGTAAGTCCAGAACTAGTTCCAGATGTTTTGTTTTCTTTTACTTGAACCTACACATTTTTACGAGTCCAGAACTAGTCCCACAGTACAGTACATCTTTGTTCAGGATGGTTGAATAAACAGTGGCATTTTCCTGCTGTTTTACCTTCTCTGCAGCGAACAGGACAGGAGCGGTGGCCAGACCCAGCTTCAGGTCCGCAGCTGTCGGCTTTCCCATCAACTCTTCTGTAGACATGAAGTCCAGCATGTCATCTACCAGCTATGGAGACAAACAAACAAACAAACAAACAAACAGTTAACTTTAAACTCATCTCTGTGTGTTTACCCACATCTGTTGTTTTCAAACTTCTTCAAACATTATTAACCCTTGTCCTGCTGGCATTCCTGGCACAATATTTTTCAATAATTTCATGTATTGATAAAATCATAGACCCCCAAATTTTTTTTCCCTGCAGTGGCATAGTTACTTCTGCATTTGTTACGTTTCGCTGCGGTGTGATGCATTGCACGAGAAATACCCCCAAATCGTACCTATACAGGGTGTAATATAGATGGTACTGTATGTGCAGAACAACAATTGTTGTGCTCCGCAGGACAAGGGTTTTAAAATCAACTTGGCAGTACAATACTGAATTTGATTATTTTTTTACACAATTTGTTGACTTTTATGACAATGCACTGACACTTTTTACAAGGCATTTAAAATCTACAGGATATGTACATAACACAAAACAAATATGGACATTCATTGAGATTGACCGGTAAAATTGTACACAAAATAACTCTTGTACCTGTGACTTTTTTTTCTTCCATCAAGACTTGCAGAAAAATATACTGAAATGCAACTTGTAAATGTACCAAATGCTTCAGCTCTACTGTTGGCAAAATCACTGTAGCATATGTCTCGAATGAGTACCTGGCTAGCTTTAAAGACAAAGAAAGGAGAGTACCTGAAAGGCAATGCCCAGGTTTTTCCCATACTGGTAAGCAACTTCCTGCACATCCTTAGAGCTCCCAGACAGAACAGCCACCTGCAAAGAGCCAATTTTTGTCTACCTGCACCTAACCTGCACTGGTCTTTGTGCTGCATGCATCTATATATACATATAGCCGTGTATGTGCATTTTTCTTTGCTGCAATGACTGTATAAAGTGTACAAGAATGGCAATGGTTTCTGAACAGTTTTTAGTATGACCCATATTTCCAAAACTCTAATTGTTGCAGTTAAAATTGGTAAAATTCAGTGTTATCTGCACCTGTGCAGGTATACAGAAAAAAGGATTTGTGTAAAGACATGCTACATGTACACTTATCTTGAAAGTTCATCTGTGTTGGTAGAAATCATTATGAAGCAAGTTTAAACTGTAATGTCCAACGCAAGAAATTGGACTCACCCAAATTTTCGACTGTTCAACTCCAGTCTTTGTCAAGGAATGAACAATCCACAGCTTCCGTGACCTCCGGATTGTTCATTCCATGACAAAGACTGGAGTTGTACAGTCGAAAATTTGGGTGAGTCTAATTTGTTGTGTTGGAAATTAGAGTTTAAACTTGCTGCATAACATGCTACACTTGTGAACAGGAGAGAAACTTTGCACTGACCCAAACAAGACTGAGGAGTTATTACACTACATGATTGCTTATACTAGTCGATGGTCAGTGCATTTGTTAGTCTTCTACAAGGAGACAATTAGCTGGTACATGTAAAGTGTACCTCTCTGTCTTTTGTTCTGTACTTACTGCTCTACAGCTGTAGGCCAGCAGACTTGCTGTTTTCTTGAAAGTTTTCTTCAGATAGTGGGCAAACCTCTCATCTTCATCCTCCTTAGTACCTAGCTGCATAAACTCACCTGTAACAAGGACAGATATTGAAAAAAATGCTACTTATCCTAAAACCCAAGTCATTTTTATGTTTAGGGGAAAACATATTTTTTGCTCAGTTTCTTCCCCTTCCTCTCCAAACACTGACCTCAATGACCTGAACCAATGTTGTGACTGTTACCATGGTAACTGGTGTTGGGTTACATCATGTTGCAATTTTATAGCAGGAGAGATTTAGACTCCTGACCATATATATGAATGTGTTTGAGTTAGAATCAACAGCAGACCACATGCGAAAGTAAACATTATGCAGTTGCTTTGCATATGTTACTTTTTTAGTTACCATTTGTTATTTGTGTACTAAAATGAAAAACCCAACATCTCAAAAAATTACATAATGGTACCATTGACAAGTGACCATAGGCAGATTTTTGTTTTGAAAATGAACCTGAAATTGACCTGGAAATTTGAGGTTTTGCTTGTAATTGTGTTGAACTAAATTACCAAACTTGATCATGAAATATTCCAACACAGAATTGAGCTACGTAGCACTCCTTGACTAGCTGTTCCATCAGCTGTACTCACCCCTGACCAGGTCCTCTATGACCTGAGACAGCAGGATGACGACATCTTTGTTCCCGATGGCAGCCAGAGCCATGGACGAGATGGTGAGGATATAGTCTCCTGTCAGGATAGCCTGCAGGGGAGAAACAACCGAATTAGTTGCCACAAGTTACACATTGAAACTGGTAGACATAACCGCACTCCCCTAGAACAACGAATATGTCAGAACTGTGACCTAGGAAGAATCGAAGATGAGAAACATTTTGTAACATTCAATGTAAACTATACCACAAAGAGAGAGTAGATATTTATAATCTGATACAATCTATGTTCCCCTTCTTTATACATCTAAGCTGTACAGATAAATTTATATCTCTAATGAGCTTAGACAAACCTTCTGTATTGAAATATGCGTGTTCTTACCTTTTTGCCATTACTAGGAAACGAGAAGAAACCGAATTTACTTAATTGTAGCTACTTGACGATGCATGTATGTAACGTTATCTGTATTCCATCCTTTTACCTAATACCAGCCCAGAAGAGAACAAGAAATAGCCATGCCTTCAAGTATCAAGTTGAACCAAGGATTGAGGTGTTCAAGAATTCATTCCTCCCTAGAACTATCGCAGAGTGGAACTCGCTGTCACCAAGTACAGTAGGGGCATTATCATTAGATAGCTTTAAACAATGTCTAGAGTTAGAATTTCAACTTCAAGGGTCGATCGGTGTGATATAGCCAGCTGCCGCTGCGCCGCGTGCTTGCGAAGCTGGTGTGTTACGCTGAAGGCGATTATACCGGTTATAGATACAGATCCATGTTACAGATACAGTCATCCATGCTAACACTGCGTACCTTTCTCTGCCCGTGCAGGTTACTGACACAGGCCTTCCCTCTCCTGGTGTCTGCCTCGTCAATCACATCATCGTGTACCAGACTGGCCGTGTGGATCATCTCCGCTATCATCGATATTCTCCTCTGAGACGACAGCGCCAAGCTGGACGGGAAGGAGGAAAGAGATTAAAGCGATATCACGTAAGATTTTCAATACTTCAAACATTGTTGTTTTACACATTTTCTTGGTAATAATAATGCGCTATATGCCTACCAGGGTTCATAACGTCCAATACGGTCCATACCGCAATGCGGTATATATTTTCTCATTTTGCAACTGTTTTGTATGACTTACAGTATGGTTGAAAACTTTTTTTTGGAAACGGACAAAAACTCATGCCCGCGCAGATGTCATCCATATAATCCAATCAACATGGCCTAGTACCTACATGATTCTAGACTGACCTGTTTTCAGCAGCTCCGTTGTGAAAGTTACAGGCACGTGACATCAGCAGCACCACCATTGGTCGGAAAGCCTTCCCCTGTCCGTCAAAGTAGTAGTGTGACATGTACCGCAGCACACTGCCGTAGGTGGTCAACTCCTGGAAACGTGAAAAAAGTTCTGCCTCTCACTCATCAATTCAGCTGGTTCTAACTTGGCAAAGGCTGTTCCAGTAACTAATGTTTCACCAAAACTGTATACTAGTAGTAAGTCACAACAAGAAAACTGTGCTTGGATAGGTAGCTTCTTTGGATATAGCACCATTCACATCAGGCGTCAAAATTAACTTTTTTTCTAATTGATGTCCTAGAAAATAAATTTCAATAAATTAAAAATGTCCCGAAGTGAGGTTGCACTGTCTGAACCTGTCTTTCATGAAGTGTGTATGACAACAACTTGAAGTTAACTTTATTTTGCTTACATTCTGACTCCCAGGCGTACTATACTATTACTAATTGCAGAGTAGATAAAAACATTTTGGGGGGACTTTTCCAGAGCCAAAAGCTGGGACACAGATGTAAGGCTGACATTCTGATTATTTTTCTATTGTCCCAAAAATATACCAAGTGACTTTTCAGTTGTTTTGTCCCAAAAATGTCCCAGTGTCTTTTCAGTTGTCCCAGCCTAAATTTTAGTGGTCAGTGGCCATCAGGACACTGTCAATTTTGAGCCCTGACACAGTGTTAAAGGTCTTCATAATGACCCTTGGTACTGGTACATGTGTACTATTATTACTATGATCATGATGTACATTAATTTTATTTTATGAAGTCTAAGTTGAACCTAGATAAAATTGACCCACAGGACAGAGGCGTGGCGTGCTGCCATCAAGCCCCAGATGTATTGTGAAAGCACGTCTAACCCTCGGAAGACGGGGAACAACAGACGATAAACCGGACAGTGAGTGAGTGAGTGAAGTTTAAACTTTAGTCAGAGTTTAAACTTAATTAACAGAAATAAAGATTCTTTTGTCACAAGAATAAATGTGCACAAACCTTTTTTATATCATCATACAAGGTGGACATTTCTGTAGATACAAGTTGGAAGGGGTCAGATGGGGTCACTGGGTCCAGGCTAGATTTCTGGCTACTGCAGAGACTAGATGTACATATAGACCTGGAGAAAAAAAAACAGTGTTAGTTAGAACAACAAGCTATTGTTACTAGTACTTGTACTTGCTTGAGAAGTTACCGTATGGAGGCTTTTTATAGAGGCTTTTCATATGATGTCTATGTCTGTCACTTGCACCATATGCATGTTGGATTCCAGTATCAAATCAATTTCCACCAACATGGTCTCTGGGTTTCAAATTATAATTAGGCCACAGCAAGTAATTTATATGGATGACATCAGCGTGCACATTAATTTTCGCCTGATTTTGGAAAAAAACAACAAGAAATTATGTTGCCTTCTGACAGTGGTCACCATGCCAAAAATGGGCAAAGATGTCTAGCTGTTGCCATGCCAGAAGGTGGATGGCAGATAACTATGAAGAGAGGACACAAGAAAAGGCTCTGATTTAATGTTTTGTTTCTTACTTTGATGCAGTGATATGTGATGGTGGCTGTGTATATGTGATGTTCCCACTGAATAAAAACCATTTGTACAATGATTGAGTCATGAGAGTAGGAACCTTGTTTTTTTTCGGCCCGCTCGCATTAGATTTGGAGTCTGCAGAGGATGTCATCCATAAAATTTACTTCCTGTGGCCTTAGTATGACCCAAATAAAAGCCTGTATGTACTGCACATTCAAGGTAGACTGTACCTAAACTACAACACAAACATTTTTTTTCAATTTTCAACAAATATTTCCATCTGGGAAGCTATTAATACTAATATCTGAAGATGTACCATACCTGATATGAGTTGTAGTGTTGAGTTGGAGGAGGGGTCTGCATATATTACCCTGGTAACCTCCACAGTCAGACAGTCTGCCAGGACCAGAGAACAGCCTTCCTGGGACCTGTAGTGGTCACATCATGTCACATCTATTGTTATGTGTGTTTTCTTTTACTTACAATTTGTATCTTCAATAAATTGTAACAGTGGGGGGGTTTACAGGCGCTACCAACTGATTTGGCAAACGGGTCTAGACCTTTAAGCAGAGTGGTTAGAGTGTCTGCCTGTGGACTGGTGCCCGGGTTTGGTCGTGGGTTCGAACCCCGGCCTGGGACCAGGGGTTTCTCTGTTTCTACTTGCTCCTCCTGTTTCTTACAGTGGTTCCCACACCGGCCCTGGGAGTTCTGGCAAAGAGTGCCGCTCCAGGGATGTCGAATTTTCGAGGACGAATCTTGAAAAGAAAAGGGGGAGTAGTGTAACACTAACAGTGGGGGGTTTATAGGCGCTACCAACTGATCCGGCAAACGGGTCTAGACCTTTTCGGCTCAGTGGTTAGAGCATTTGGTTATGAAGCTGGTGCTCGGGAGGTTGTGGGTTCGAACCCCGGCCCGGGACCAGAAGGGTTTTGTATACATAAGGGTTCTCTGTTCCTAACGTTCTGTTGGTACATATTTACGTAGCGCAGCAACATTTCATACAAAGTCATAAATATCAAAATTCTATAGGGGTGTGCCTGGATGACAGGCTGTTTCCAGGGCCAACCTGTCCCCTGATGAGTTAGACATTCTTGGTTTAATAGACTTTAGCTACTGAGTAAGGACTTGGTCAGACCATGAAAAAGCTGAGAAATATTATATTTAAAGGCACCAAGAGTTAAATACCTAGAGAGACTTTTTGACTCTGAACTGAACCACGCGAAAACGAGCACCAAGTGACCACGTCTAGCAATATATTTAATAGACCGGGCGGTTAAACAAGGACAACAACAACAACAGAAAGCTAAAGATGACGGGAGACGTTCTAGCAAAGAATGTAACAATATGTGAAGAAATTAAAAAATATATATGCTTCAAATCTGAAATATAAAAGTTTGCTTGGGCGGTTTATTACAGAATCCCTATGTTTCGTAAACTCACGTGTGTTGTATAACTGTAACTTTATACAAGGTCACTATTTCATAACTTACTGTCGAGCTTCCGACCTTGGCATCGCCGATTCTAGCGTGGTTTTGCCTTGCCTGTCTGCATAGCCTCCTTACCGACGTCCTGCAGTGATTGGAGTCCTTCACGACACACACTTGTGGAAAAATCGGCAGAAATCTTTGCCCCTCCTTCCAAAATCTAACGGAGGTCGCCATCTTGCCGGCGAATTCCGGAAGTTACGTAATTCTACTTCCGCTTGCTTAGCTAAGCGATGGATGATTGCGTAATCTAAGGCCACACCCACTCGCGCACCGATTTCCACAGGTGTGTGTGTGTGTCGGCTATTTTAAGATCAACGTAAGGCCTGATTTTGGAGAAAAAAAATGGACAACATGCCGAAAATGGACAAAATGTTGCAATGTTGGAACGTGTATGGCAGATTAACGCGAAGAGAGAAGGCTGATTTATTGTTATGATTTTTACTTTGATGCAGTGATGTATTTCATTCCTTTATAACCATTTGTACAATGATTGAAAACATTTCTTTTTCAAAGTTGTTTCATCAGCGGTACTCACCACTTAAGCCTCGGTCACAACCCGTACGTGCTTCTGCGTGATGTCTACGTGCAAAAACGTGGGCAAACATAAGGCATCCGTGCGTGGTGAGTACCGCCTCCGTACGGAATCCTACGGATTTGGGAGCACGCAGACACGCCGTAGAACTTTAAGTGCATGTAAAACTTTTTCTACGTGCGGTCTGCGGATCACCCCGTGCGAGTAGGAGCGACGCGCGTGCCCCGTACGTACCGTACGGAAGGGGCACGTGTGAGTTCGGCCTCCTTGCGGTAAAGTTGCAATCGCACAGAGATCGTACGTTGTAAGCACGTACAACTCACCTACCGCTTGCACAACGAACGATGCACGCAACCGCTCACGGCCAGGCGTAACGTGCAGACCACACTCTTACACCTTGCGCAACCGTGCGAGTGGCGAGTGACGTGCGTTTATAATTACGCCACTCCTTCCCCACGTTTTCAGAAACGTAGCAGACGTGCCCTCCAAGAAAACGTACGGACTAAAAGCACGCACGGCGGGTTGTGACCGACGCTTATGTAGTAGTATCGAATGTTTGATGCTTCTGAGATATTCCTGATCTATAACCTGACGTTCCTGTTGCGGGGTTCAGGCCGGAGGTACTCATCCCAGTCGAAACTGCCGGTGGAGAGACCGTGCAGGGTTTCTCGTAGACATTACTGCAATCCTCGTTGCAGCCGGCCGTAGACGTTGCAGGCCTCCTTATAGACACAGAATCCGTTTTCTTCCGCGGCATCGCAGCGCAGGCAGCCATTTTCTCGCCACCACATTTACCCAAAATGTGGCATTTCAAACGTTCAACAGAACTTTTTTCTCTTTTCTTCAAGATCTACGCCTACAATGATGGTATGGTTTTATGTTTAGCTTACGGTTTCACATTGTTCAAAAAGATTACATGGATTATATCAACAGAGAGAGAGAGAGAGAGAGATCTATAGAAGATCATAGAAAGACGGAGTTTTGTGAGAAGAAAGACGTCAAAGCAAAGAACTCAAACTTAGAAAGGAGCTCGGGGGCTTTTATGATGTATACGATTTAATCTGACACTCACATTCGCACCAGGTACCAAGCAATTTGCCGGCCCGAATACCGTTGCGAGTACAACGCTGTCGCATGTCACTTGCAGACCAATTAACTTTACAAGATTGTCGTGCATTGCTTTATTGTGAAAGCTCTTGTTATGTTCAATTGGCATCTTTGTTATACGCGCCCACACAAGTGAAGGGATTAAAATGAAGAGTCGGGTATTATTATTCACCACTCGGTTGGGTTAAGGCGGCCTAGGCTGATATTCATGTTCGAGTTCCGCCGTGTGTCTGCACGATTGCCACAAACATGTTTCGAACCCGAATCATGTTCCACCATGTTCGATATGACGTCATTCGAATAGAACGCGTGTTCGAATTCGGGGTTACCGGCGGTCATTTGTATGTTTCCCCTGTAAACCCGCGTTGTTACGCATTTTATTCACGGAGTATGACTTAAACGGCTTTACGCGCAGCTGAAAACAACATAATTCATCTTTAGAGTAATCCATGTTTACGTATTATCACTTTTTTATCAAAATTGTCCGAGGCTATTTTGCATATAAGTCGAAATTTTTTAACTGTGGCGATTATTTAACGAAAAATGACAGAAAAATAGCTGTTTCTGTCGTTTTTGGCCCAAAAAAACAATGTAACTGTCATTTAAAACAAAATAGCCTCGGACAAAAATAATAAATAGGGGGTTGCCTTTCTACTTGCAAAATATCATGATAAAAGGTGTTGTTACCGCTTGTGCGTAAAGCCATGAAGTAAACAGCTTTTTTTTAACCAAAATGTTGATTTTTAACCCAAAAATTCAGAAGTAGTAAAAACAAAATAACCTTTATTCAATGTGTTTCAAGTACTACTAGAACTGTGTGAAGTTAAGTTGTGATGCGACCAAGCTATCAAAAGTTACAGCCATATGTATGAAATACTAATCATAGTTGGCCATAGGCTGCCTTAACCCAACTGAGCAAGCCAATAAAATATCATTCTGTGTGTTTGACGTTTGCCATTTGTCCAACCTTCATGACCACCTAGATTTCATAATGAAGGCAGCTTTTTTTTGCCAAACTTTTTTATTCGCAAATGTGGCGATGCTTCCATTCAGTACGGTGGTCCTAGCTTTCAAACATCGCTCACAAAGAAATGCGCAAGAGAACTTTGAAGTGGTTGATGTTGTTAGTTTATTCCAGTGATTGAAGGTACGTGAAGTGTGATTGAGCCTCTCTTGGACTGCTCAAGAGAAGACTCCCTCCCCTGGACACAGCCAGTTGGAGACTGCTCAAGAATACTTGTCTCTCTCTCTGACCACATCTCTGTTCATCCTTGATCTAATTTAAAGGACTTGTTTACTCATCTTTGAATGAATGAACCTCCTATTGTAAGGATCTAATATGCTGAACCATAGAGTCCCCCCTATGGGAATGGTATAACCTGCCACCCCGGTGGCGAGTAGGCAAGTCCACTAGGAACCAGTTATATCCAGTTGAGTTAGAGTTACCCACATGTTCTGAAGAATACATACAGATCTACAGTACTCCACTCGTCTCTTCTGCTCATTCCATAAACCCTGGGATTGGATCGTTACACTGGTGGCAGCGGTGTTCGGACTCTTCGCCGTCCCTAACCACCGGACTTTATTCGTCAACAACCGGTGGATCGCTGCGTTCGCCGCCCCGCGGTACTCGCCCCCTCCCTTCTGGCCCATGTGCGTCTACCTTCAACTTCCCGGACCGCTCCGCTATCTTTTCTGTCAAGGTAGGCTTTAGGCTCGCACTGAACTGTTGAGAATTTGGAACTGCCCGTCACTATATGGCTACCGCTAGTGATTCTGTTGTCGTTATCGACGAGGACATTTCATTTAACTACAACCCTGTGGCTCGCGCCCCCTCGAACGTAATGGCGTCGCCCACACAGACGCGTCTCCCACCGAGGTTTCCCAGTCCAGCTTCATTCCCTCCAGCTGTACCGTCGCAACCACCACCTCCCGGTACGTCTGTTACACCTACCATATACACATCTCAGGCCACAGCCCACCCTTCACTCCAGCCTGGGACTAACACTCACCCTCCCAGGCCGGTATCGCAAATCGACCGTCAACCACCACCTCCTGGTACAGCTGTTACAACTACCGTATACACATCTCAGGCCACAGCCCGCCCTTCACTCCAGCCTGGGGCTAACACTCACCCTCCCAGGCCGGCACTCCGGTATGGGTCTACCACCCACCCACCCAGGCACCCTCAGCCCCCCCAGACCACTCGGCCCACTCTACCTGGCCAGCCTCCAAGCTACCGGTACTATGCACCCACCGATCCAGCTGCAGGCTTGCCTGTCACCTGGTACCAACCACCTGCTGTGCCTAGTCCCTCGTCTCCACCACACCTCAAAACGCCCCTCCCAGCCGCCTTCCTTGGCAATGGCGACGAGGACTTCCCAGTTTGGCTGACCAAATTCGAGGTATATGCCGATGCTCACCTGTATGATGCGACCGTTCGAACCCGGGCTCTACCGACTTTCTTGGATGGACCCGCTCTCACCTACTTCCAGAGCCTCCCCCAGGAAACCAAACACGACTACCAGCACCTCTGCCAGGCATTGTCGCATGCGTTTTCCCAGGACAAGTACATTTTCAGTTTCCAACAATCACTGGCTCAAAGGAAACGCCAGCCAGGTGAGTCACTCATCGTCTTTGCCTCAGAACTCAAACATCTGGTCCGGCGGGCTCATCGCACATACAATGAAGCTGCCATCCAAGGTGTCACCTTGCAGCATTTCTGCCACACGCCTCCGGGTAATCGAGCGAAACCCCTCCACTATTGATCAGGCTGTCGAGATCGCCACCCTGTATGAACAAGCAGTGGCCGCCACTACCCCGCGTGAACGCTCAGTCAACGCTGTCCACAGGGACGACCTACAAGCCACGGTGACCACTCTGACGGAGCAAGTTTCTGCCCTCACGACGTTACTTCAGAACCACTTGTCGCTCACATCAGGAGACTCCCACCGTTCAGCCTCCACTTCTCGGCCTCGGTCCACTTCCCCGTATCGCTCAGCAGACACACGCTCCCGCTCCCCATCACAGACGGATCGTCGTTCGCGATCACCACGGTCAGTCCGTTTTGCTACCCAGGGAAACGACCTCCCCCTGATGCCGCGGGCCGGGCATCAGTAGACAGCACCCAGGCCCCCCCCACATCACCCTCCAATCGACCCCCACCCACGTCCCACATTTCTGCCATCTTGGAGGGCGCAGCAACAAACACACTTATTGATACTGGATCGGCCATTTCCCTCATCAGCGAAAGACTTTACAATTCCATTCCGCATCTTCGTTCTCGACCACTCGTAAAGCAGTTTACCCCGGCTCAGTCTGTCACTGGGCAAGTTCTGGACACTATTGGGGTCATAGATCTTCACATCCACCTAGGAGACTGCGACACTGTCCACCCCGTCCACGTCGTTCGCGACGCAGATCACTACGCCATCCTGGGATGGGATTTCTGCATC